AACAGCTGTGAAATGTTACCATGATAGGTGAGAAAAAGAGACCAGAGTTAAGCACAATATAACAGTAACATACCTGTCTGACTTTTGATGCATCTGCTTCAAAGAGAGACCACACCAGTTCATAATCTGAAAAATAAATTTCACACATAGGTACCATTACAAAAAACAAATAAGTGTAAATGTGTTCATCTTATAATGTCCAACTTAATTAACTAGAATCATCTGTTGTAATGTTCAAGACTAACTCATAAGTAGTTAAGGAGAGTATGAATGCAGGAGTGTTGGGAAAAGAACGAACATACAAATTGGCTAATTCTGTACCAGTGGGTGAATTTACGCATGAGAAGCCAGTCGTGTTCAAGGGTCTTTGAGAGTCAGTGAACAATGCACTGGCACAAATAGATTATGGTGTGAGGAGAATGGTACAGCTGGGAGTGACTAGGGAATCTGGTCGACAATCTAAACTCAGAGGTAAAGCATGACAGACATATAATCAAACTGATACTGACACTATCAGAATTTGAATTCTTACCTGGCTGCTGAAGATGAGAAAAGAGCTCTTTTAAGAAAATCCAAATAGCTGGGATGCAACTTCTTAGTTTTTCACTGTCCCGTATGGGTTCCAGGGCCCCATTGTCAGAAAAATAAGAACAGACCCACTGCCTCCCCAAGAAGCATGTTTTAGGAGTTGACTAATTGGGAGCTTCCTTCGAAGTCGGAATGCATATGCCAGAGTGGCAAGGAATAATCAACTACACAAAGATAAGCCAGTAAAACTAATGAAGACGCAAAACTCAGGCCCTGGCACAAAGCCAAAATCCAAGTGGACAAACAGCTAGGACTTTCCGCCAGAGCTTACAGCCGGTGAACAAAAAGAGGAAGAAGAAAAGCAGAGTTATACACATTACTATTAAAAGCAACAAGTAACTGTAAATGTGTTCACCTCATACAGACAGGCCATCTTATTAACTAGAGTCAAGTGTTGTCACATTCAGGACACACTTGTAATTACTTAGTCTCCTCAAAAGTGGTCAAGGAGTTTAGATTGCCCCTCATCAATCAGCAAGTCCTTTACAGAACATTGCTCTCTTCCCTGCACGCTTTAAAGTATCCCTTTTCCAAGCCAGCTCTCTGTCACCATGTGCTTTCAATGCTAATGCTTCTTCGATGTCCTGTATCCATCTTTGTGGTGGTCGACCCCTGCCTCACCTTCCACAAACTGCACCATCCCTTACCGTCTTTTCTAAGCAACCATGACACTTGATGTGGTCAAAATACTTCAACTTTCAGGACAGGATGCTGTTTATGAGCCAGTTCTCCCTAATGTTCAATTCATTTAGAATGTCGATGTTTTTCCTCTTCTTAATAAATGGTATTCTAAGAATTTTTCTATAATATTTCGTTTCAAAAGCTCCAATCTTTTTCCTCAGTAACTGAGTGAGAGTCAAGGACTTGCCACTGTAAATTGCCACGGGAAAAATACATGATCTCAAGATTTTTACTTTAACCAATTTACTAGTGCTTTGCCATAGGTTCTTTATGCTGTTTAATCTCTGCATTGCTAATGCAAGCCTTCTTCTTACCTCTTTCGAGCAGTCATTAAAGAGCCAAAGTATACTAAATCTGTTGCATTTTAGATTTCTTCATTTTTTATTGTAATATGTGGTTGGTGTGCTGAATTTACTGAGGATATAAAGTTAGCTTTTTTTTTTTTTAAATTCAGAAAAATCTTTTTTGCTGTTCTTTTTGATGGCCAGAATTAATTTTTCTTAACCTTGAACACTGGTGGAAAGAAGAATAGTGTCGTCTATCTGAGTTCAGGGATTGGAATACCTCAAATTTTTAGTGGATCAAAGCTCTCACATGCCTCATCACAAATTGCATTTCTCATAAATTTTTCAGCATATATGTTAAAAAAGGGAAGGAGAAAGAATGCAGCCCCGCCTCACTCCTTTTTGGTGCCTAGAGATTGCCCCTACAGATGTGAAAATGGCAGTGAGTATTTGGGCTTCTCTCAGAAGATATGTATGTCTTGCACTTATTACTTGTTGTTTCCTCATACTAGGCAATCTATGGCTTTCTGTGCTAAACACATGCACCAATGATGTCAAGTATATTCCTATCCTGTGTTATGAATGACAGTCTTGTCGCACCTCTCTCCAATATAGTTAGTATCCTTCTAGACGAAGCAGCTCCATAGCTGATTATTATACTCCTCGATTTTATCTTTAAGGGAAATTTCTTCTAAGATGGCGTGTGTATTCTTTACCCTTCTAACTGTGGATTTTAGTTCTAGTAAATAAACTGTGTATCAATGCAGGTACTCCATTAGTCAGTAGTGACAGTAGTCAGTAGCTGTCTGACTGACTATCAATTTCAATGTTAGTAACATTAACAATACATGATAAAAATAATGCATAACACATGGCATAAACGTCTGAAAAAAAATGATTATATAATATACAAGATAGCAAAAAATACGTTATTGAAAATCAATGAAAACATTATGGTCCTATTATTACCGTCAGGTTTGAACAAGAGACTTGTACGCCAAAATTACTGCTACAACCAAAACGTCAGTATTCACACTCGAGAAGTCGCCGGGAAGTCTTCTAGCAGACGACACTTTAACGACCAGTTTCTCAATTTGCCAGGTAAGCGTTGGAAACGTATTTCATTGTTTCGAAACAAATTCCTTTTACTTGTTCTTTCAATGTAACATTTAAACACCCCCCCCCTTCCCCCCCCCACACACACATATACACAATTTTGCAGGATTGCAGTCTATAGGATTAACATGAGACTCAAACAAGTACAAATCCCTGATTAACCGTATATCGATATAGTACGGTGTGGTAGTAATTTTCCAAAAATATCCTGTTCAACCCTCAGGGTTATGTGATCATCATCATCAGATGCCTTGCCGACTGGCGTGAGCGATCATGCCTCACCACATAACTGTCATAGTTAGTATTAGTTGATTTCTCAGAGTATGTATATTAGTTATTTTATATTTACATATTATTTAAATAACTATTTAAATGACCGATATGTAATTTGCAAGACCAGCTCTGCTTAGGGTCGTGGGGATGTATGCATAAAAGCACTAGGACATAAAAGCCCAATATTGTTTCACATATTACTTTAATTTGCGTAGTTATACCAGGGCACCACACAACGCTAACGAATTAACCTGTGGTCTAGTGTGGGTGATTATCCACCCCCCCCCCCATTCCCCCTCTTTCTTAGAGTAGTAATTTAAAAAACAATATCCTGTTTAAACAATCAGATGGGGTTGTATAGAGTTGTTGTTTCTCCCTTCTCCGTGCGTTCTGTTGGGCATTACTTGTTACTCTTTTAGACTTAGGGAAAGGCAAGACGATTGTACAGTCAGACAGGCACTGGTACCATAGGAATTGGAACTCTTCGCTTGCTACTGAAGATGGGGACGTGGGCGTGTGAAAGGACCACACATAAGTGCCTGTTTGTTCTGCTCCATAGATACGGGACGTTTATATTGATTCAACATTTAAAATTCTTTTAGACTTTTCTCATGGTTGCTTGTTGTGTGTGTGTGTGTGTTTTCTCTTTTTTTTCTAAAGACACGGACGGCGGCGACTCCAAGCAAAACCTTACCCTTAATGGCCTCTTACGACATGCCGGGGGTGGGGGGGGGGGCGGATTATTACTATTCTTTGCTTACAATGTGAGCCTCGGTAACATACGGGTGATATATCAGTTGAATTATATACAATTCAGTTTACCGTTATTGTTGTTACTTGTGCTACTGCTTATGCAACGTCACATTTTGCTAGCCGCGTAGCTTGTATTAATTGCCAAACTGCATTTCTGGCTTATTTTGTTCGATTCTGATCAGATGACCAAACCATTTGATATATTTTTATGTTCCGTGAAACCATTTACCGGTACTGTGCCTACTATTGTTCTAGGTTCCTCATTTGTGACTCTGTATCCTCTTGTTTTTTCTACCTCGGCAAAGTGTCGGGTGGTGGGGGGGGGGGGGGGGGGGGTGTAACGTAGGTTGGTGAACTCTCTCAAGAGCACTATTAAGACTGATGTTCATTTCTGTTAGGCTGTTCTTAATGCCATAGCTCCATATTTTCCGAGGTCTTCCGCTCGCTCTATACCCGTTGTAACGATTTATTGAGGCTCGCTGTGGCACATAGTACCAGGGTATTATTGTTAGGTGACCACTTCAATTGTTGTTCTTTGATGACCTGTAAGACTGACTTTATTCCTGGCATTCGTCTTTCCTTGAAACTCTTGCAGCTCTTCTTAGGCATTTCGTCTCTGTTATCACAATTTTACGTTCATTGGAGGATGTAAGTGTCCACATTTGGCACAGATAGCATTGTGTTGGCTAAATGTCTTTATATATATATATATATATATATATATATATATATATATATATATATATATATATATAATAATAAAGAGAGAATGTATTGAATGGCACTCACAGAAAGGAGCAGAAAGACACACGAGACAACATAACAATCGAATTCTATAGTTACCATGCCGAGAATCTCACACTATATTTGAAGGTGACAGGCTAGATTCCCAGCATGGTAACTATAGCTTTCGATTGTTATGGTGTCTAGTGTGTCTTTCTACTTCTTTCTGTGAGTGCCAATCAATAATTCTCAATCTGTTTATTATACATATAATATTTTTTCTGCCTCAAGGGCTCCTCTCTGGCGGTAATAGCGCAAAGTTGGTAGAATAACGCATTTGTCAGCAGCTTATTATTTTGGTTAATAATAAGAAAAAACGTGGGCATGTGAAAGGACCACACAGAAGCGCCCCCTTGTTGTGTTCCATAGATACGGGACGTTGTTGTTGATCCAGCGTCTGTCTTCTTGTTGCTGCTGCCACCAAAGTGTGTGGTTATGGGACAAACGGCTACATTTACCGTGGTGGTATCCTTCTACTTATTCTGACGTTTTATATACTTCAACTTCAGCAGATTGCCAACAATGAAGATAACGTCTCACACTGTCGGAAGCTGGGTAGGAAACGATTAATTATTAGTTACTAATTTACCGGAACACAGTGTTAGTTAGTTAGTTAGTTAGTTAGTTAGTCTTTCCTCTTGTGTCGAGTGCGGCACATAGGGCAGAGGTCATGACTCTCCATGCATGGCGGTTCGTTGCAATCTGTTGTAGGTCTTGGATGTTTGAGTGGCCCATGAACGAGCCTTCCCTGATGATAGTTCTACGTAGGGTTTCCCTTGGTCTTCCACGAGATCTTTTCCCCTTTGGTGTCCAAATGAGGGCTTGGTAAGGAAGTGTTAGTGATAAATTATAATTCAAATGCTTTTACTAATTAACTTGACCGATTTAATTAGACATCAAATAAAAGGACAGTTATATTCGCCTTCGTCCCGATATGGGATGTATTTTTCAAAGCCCCACTCCCGCTGTTCACTGGCCCGAAAATAGCCTAGGGTTGAACAAGGTATCAGGTCGATTCTCATCCAAATGTTGACACCTTATGCCACTGGTTGTTTGTCAGGCTCACCTTCGAACTTCAACCCGATATTATGGCGGCCATAAAACATCCTTACGGGGTTCAGTTCTATTAAAAATATGCCGGCTACGTATAACGAAACAAATGCTCTAACAGGGTCTCAGCGATATGTTACTTGCGGACCTGTTTCTGTGACTATGCCTCACCGCCGACAGTATCCCCCGTGCCGCTACGTGCGGCACGGAAGGGGGCTAAACTAGATAGCTGGGACTCACGAGCAGCAGCTCCTGCAACTTCCTCCAATTAATTTGCTCGTAAGTGCCAGGCACCTATTTTAGCCCCTCATCCGCGCCGCGAGTAGCGGCACGGGGGATACGCTCGGCGGTGAGTTTAATCGCGTTTTGGACATGCTATTATTGTCTGCTACTATCGTCTGCAATGTTGCGTCTCTTGAAATTGTCAAGTAATCCTAGTTTTACCGCGATTTGATCCTTGGCAGAAAGTCAGCATTTTACATATGCCTGAGCCCCGTAAGGATATTTTATGGCCGCCATAATATTGGGTTAAAGTTCGGAGGAGAGCCATTTGTCGCTCGTCATGTAGTCCTTTTGGGGTTGAACGTCAGTCAGTCAGGACAGTTATATTTCTGATTGCCTTTCCAGCCATTGTGAAAATTGTTCAGTTATGAACTTATTTATTTGGGACTTTAACGATTTTTGTCTTTTTTTTCTCCGTTAGATTTAGGAATTGGCTCACTGAATATTTTATAGTAATTTATGTAATGATCTAATTGTTATATTAGTTGTAAATTTAATTATAGTTATAGATATCCTGGGAGTCGCCGTGGCAGAGCAGCTAGACGCACGCCGCAGATCGGAAGGTCGTGGGTTCGCTCCCTGGTGGAGACGGACTTTTCTTCAAAAATGACCTTGGCGCCCAGGTCGACCCAGCCTTGAGTGGGTACCGGGTGCAATCCCGGGAAGTAGAGGCGGCCGGCATGATGCTGACCACATCACCCATCTTGTGCCGTTGGTCTATAAAAATATAGGTCTAGCCCTATATGCCCTATACGCCTAAAGGCGTGGAAAGGGTCCTTTACTTTTTACTTTACTTCACTTATAGATATCCTCTTCTCCACCTACTCTCCGGCAGGAATTTCTGGTTGTTTGCCTACTTCTGAACTTGAGTCTTATTCCAGAACTTGAGTTTTATGTGCACTTCAGTTTTACAGATCTTATTTATCTGTTTGCAGACTGTTGATTTTTCGCCTCTCAGGCAGATGTACTCTGACTTTGAAGGAAACAACCCTAATTTGTTGCCTCCTATGACATATTTGTGAGGGAAAAAGGGGGTGTGGGAAGGGGTGGGGTCCTGGAATCCACACAGGGAAAATATCTCCTTTTACTTTTCTGGGTTATGATCGTAATATATAAAGTACTTTCTTCTTCTTGTCAGATACTGGATACTTACATTTGCTTAACAGTTTTGTCTATTTAATATTGCGTAAATTATTTGTATCGACTATGCTATGTTGTGACAAGAACCAACAGTCTGCATACAAATGAGCCAGATCTATCAAATGGATGTGCACAGAAAACTCAAGTTCTGGATCAAGACCAGAGTCCAGGATTGGATGAACAGCCAGAACTTTCCGCTGAAATTTGCAGCCGGCGTACGCTAAGAAAATTGTCAATTTTGTAATCTCATGAACTTAACACCATCTGTTGTTTTTGTTTGTGTTAGTTTCCAACAGGCTATTATGGCCATCATCGCATGAGAAATCGTCCAGATTTCATCAACGAGTATAGGCACCTGGCAAAACCTCAACCGCCTGACGCCTTCCTTCACCGATCTTCAGTAGGTTTAATTTATTTTCTCCCTTCCAGTTTTAATTTTAACCCATATCTTGTTTCATTATTATATTTACTCGCCATGTTCTTAACAGATGTTATTAAAATCCAAGTTGCCATCTCTCTCGACGAGTGGTTTTCAACCTGATGGGAGAGGAGGGGGGGGGGGGGGTTGGGGTTGCAGCCCCTAAAGAAGGTGCAAGGAAGTTTCAAGGAGGCCATGAAGCAGTTTTGAAATTTCACTTGTACTTATAACAATGAAGCTTTTTTTAAATTTCACTTGTACTTATAACAATGAAGCAATTTTGAAATTTCACTTGTACTTATAACAATGAAGCAATTTTGAAATTTCACTTGTACTTATAACAGTCTGTTAAACTAAATTTTTTTCTTTCAGTTTAATTATAAATATGGACAGACCAGAGCAAGATATTATTCTACGCCTTAGAACAGGTACAGTCGACTTCACAGCCACATGTACACAAAATGTAAGATTGGTGAATCAGCCATGTGCACATGTGGACTGGCACCTGAGAGAACAGATAACGAACTCCAAGACTATCCCAAATACATAATTTCCAGGCAAAAACTTCTGGCCAAGAGAGGCATTCATGGAAATTAAACTAAGTGAATTACATAAGTCAATGAAGTTCATACTAGAGACAGCATTGCAGATATGGGTAACTTATTTCAAGCAAACAAAAGAAAAAGAATTATAAAAAAAAAAAACTGTAGAACTATTTATAAAAAAAAACAGGGAAGTACGTTATGTTAGTTGAGACTTTGACTTTCGTGGATGTCTTTCTCCTAGTTCTTGTTAATAATGCTCGAAATTTTTCTTTTTTTCTCCTCTTTTTAATCACATTTTATTTTTAAAGTTGGGGTCATGGTGGTCTTGCCATATATTCTTGAAAGGCACCAGATAAAATAGGTTGAAAACCACTGTTCTAGACAGATGTTATTTTAACTCTCTTTGCTTCCTCTCTGAACAGTGAGTTGATAAAGAAAGTATCAAGTGGTATACTGTTTTCAGGGGGCCACATTAGCGCAGTCAATAAGAGACATGCTTTCAAATCCAGCTGCGACTCGCTGCAGCCCACAGCCTGTGTTCGAAACTGGGCAGTTTCTGAGGTTCACCCAGCCTCTAGGAAATAGGTACTAGAGTTAACACTTTGGGGTAAATTGAGGAACATCGCTGTAGCTACGGGGTTGCGTGCGGACGGCGACACCGGCAGACAGTTTCTTATCAGCTGTCCGTACTGGTGGCATAGCACTTATGGTTTATAACCCCGCAATGATGCTGGTTCACATCTCCTGACTTTACTTGTTATACTGTTTTCATTGTATCAGATTCATAAAGCATGCCCAGAAAGGCTGAGTCAGGCGGTCTTCATATAGAGTAGGCCATATCAACACAAAGGATGCAGGTTAGGGTCACACGGATATTTTGCCCAGAAGTGTTTGGGAGTTAGCAGGCAGAAATTGCCTGGACTGGCCCTGCTTGGGGGTGTACTGCAACTGCACATGGCAGAGGTGATCTCTATCTTGTGTAACGAGTAAAATGGAAAACACTGAAACCTCTACCTGGAGAGAATGATGCGGCGGGGAATGCCTGTGGGCTTTAGGCACCACTCGAGGGGTGTGGGGAGAGCAAGACAAGTAGATAATCTGATGACAACAGGTACCATCAGTACAAAGACAGTTTACTGTCTGTTGAGGAGGGAGACAGACCTAATGTGGGCTTGTCCTAAATGCTGTGTTGTTGCATCTTTACCCAGATGAACCCCCAGATAGACAATGAGTTGGAAACTGTTGACAAGAATTGCCTAAATTGACTGAGAAAAATTTCCCTAGTTTCTAACCCCATCCAGTGGACAGATGCTGTCCTAGTTACATGCAGTGAAGCTCTTCTGCAGATGTGTTTATTTTTTATGTTGGATTTTGCAAAAGCCAAAATTAGTAACCATGGAAATGAGATGTTCTCAGAAGGGCTGCAGGAGTGACCAGAAAAGACAAAATCAAGAATGAATTCATAAGAGAAAATTAATGTATGCGCAGAACCAATTCTAAATTACAAAAAAAAAAAAAAATCAAATGGTTAGTCCACTTGGAGAGGATGCATTCTGATGCCATACCATACAGGGCATACATTAAAAGAGGAGATAGATTTAGAGCATAAGGTAGACCAAGAAAAAAATAATATCAGAGAAACTGTACAGCTAGAGGAGATGAAGAAAAATACGATTTTAATTCTATTGCTTCATGTCATTTATAACAATTATTTATTTAACAGCAACCAACAAGCTCCCATGTGTTTTCTTACCATGATAACAGGAACCTGTTTCCTAATGATGTGTCTATCTTTGGCCAGGTTTGCTTATTTTATTTTTCTGAGTTACTGTAGCTGAAAATATTAATTAAACACTTAGTTGGTTGAGAGTCCTTTGGAAGACTCTCACTGGTAACCCATAACTCCAGTTCATGGATGTGCATGCTGTCCCATCTTTGAAGATGACATGCATCTATCAAAGTGAATGAACAAATGAGGGAAGAAACTTGGTTTTTAAATGGTTAAGAATTGGGCATGTAGGCCCATGATACATCCCGCCTTTTTCCATAAATACTTTTTTCTATTCAGACTGATTTGTAAAATGTCTTTCCCACCTGGTATTCTTCTTCTTCTTCTTTGCGTTCACTGACTGTAAACTTGGACAGAAAGTTCTGGTTGTTCGTCCACATCTGGACATTAGTTAGTCTTGTTTCAAAATCTGAGTGTTGTGTGCACATCTGACTTACTTGTATGCAAATTACTGGTTCCTTGCCTAACAGGCAAATGCACTCCTACTTCGAATAAAGCACCCAATCAGTCTACTCTTACGACATACATGTTGAGGATACAGTGGGTCTATTCTTGTTTCCCCTACAATAGGGCCCTGAACCGACATGGGGTCTCACCTGGCAATGAAGCAGAAACTCCATGAGGACTAAAAAGCTGAGCTTTCCTTCCCTCCTCCAGCTCAGGGATGTGCAAAACTGAAACAGGAACTTGAGGAGAGTCCTGGTGTTCCTTCAACTGGGGGTTTACGAAGAGGTGCACCAAAGTCTTGACCAATTTATATTTTCTTCTTCTTGTAAGAGTTCACTGGCTGTAATCTATGGAGGAAAGTTTTGGTTGTTCGTCCACTCCTAGACTTTGGTCTTGATCTTGAAGAGTTTTTTTGGTGTGTGTGGGTGTACATCCATTTTACAGATTTGGTTTTTTTGTATGCAGAGTGTTGGTTCCTTGCCTCTTAGGCAGATGCACCCATGACTTTGTAAAAACACCTCTAATTAGTCACCTTCTACGTCATGCTTGGTAAGGAAGAGAGGGGAGGGTAGTGGGTCTGTTATTCGCCACCTCCCCTCCCAGTGGGGCGTGGGTACTAACACAGGAAAGAGTTGATCCAATCTAATGATGCCAACAACAAGAGTGTACAACGTGAAAGTAGAAACACCAAGAGGTAGGGGAGGACCATGAAGAATATGGACTGAAGGAATCACTGATGAGACTCCACAACATCATAGCACACCAAGCAACTGAGCCTGCTCTAGCTCAGATACTGATAATCTGACGACCTGCAAAGCATAGCAGTAAACAGCAGGATATGGACAACAGAAAGAAAAAAAAAGAATTTGTGCTTGATGGCTGATGTGGTCAGCATCATGCCGGCAAAAGATGTATTATTTATTAATATTTAGAAGTTTCTTGGTTCTAAATATTTTGTATGTCTGTTAATGTGAACACCACGGACCACTGAATGAACTAAAAATGACAGTGAAATGTATAAGGGATACAAATTTGCTGATAAAGGCAATTTTAATTTTAGACAAACAGAAGCAGAAGTATGTCTGTTGAATTTTCTTTTGGGGAGTCAAGGTAAGATGTGGTCAACATCAAGCCGGACAAAGTTGTATTATTCAGAAATCTATATAAGTTTCTTGTTTCTAAATATGTCTGTTAAATTTGTTTTCAGGGACAAGGTAGGAAAAAGCATCCTGAGCGATCGGAATGTTTCCGTTCGGGAACGATGTGGTCCTCCCATGTATCCCACTCAAATAGTGGACGTCCTCTGACATCTTCTTACAAGCAAGATTTCAGGATGGAAGAGCCAAATATCCAGATGCTTGTCAAGCGACCCTTGACATCGTTTGACGGTCCACCTGCCACCACAATGTATCGTACAGTCCATGGGACTGACTCACCAAACTGTCACTTTATAAATGCCATGAGCAACGAATCTTTGATGCTCTCTCTGCAGAGCCGGCAGCATCAAGCAATCAAAAGTAAGAAGGAACCCCAAGACAGTGTCGCCGCCTGTATGTCATGGTATAAACCTCGTGCACCGCCTCTTACAAGCAATGATAAATATAATCATATCTGCATGCAGCCTACTGTGGAGTCTGGCAGCAGTAGCAGTTGCCCTCAGACATTGTCTGATTCGTCTGTAGTGGCAGAATGTAATACAGCCAAGGCTGTTCAGGAATCTTGTAGCGCTTCACAGAATGTACCAGAATGCTAATGTTTTTAATTTAAAACGCCAGTCTAGTCTCTGTGAAATGTGTTCATAGTCAGTGAGGAAGTTGTTTTTATAGATCACTTTTTGATCTTATTGATGTCCTATCAAAATTAGGTGCAATAAATATTATCTTCTGTTATTCTTTTGTCTATTTTCTCCTTTATGCTACAAGGCATTGTCAGTTAACAGATGGTCAGTGTCTGAGCTAGGGAAATATCATAGTCTGCATACAGAAGTTAACTCATCTTTAAATAATTCAATCCAGTGAAGAAAATGCTGTGCATTGTGTGAATGGAAAACTACAGTTAGAATAGTAACATTGCAACGTATATCATTATAGTTCTTCTTCTTTTGAGTGTTCACCAGCTGTAAGTTCTGGTGGGAAGTTCTGGTCATTCATCCACTTCTGGATTTTTGTTTTATTCCAAGAATTTAGTTTTGTGTGCACATACGCTTTACAGAACTGGCTTATCTGTATGCAGACTGTTGGCTCCTCACCCTCACCCCCCCCCCCCCCTCCCAGGCAGATGCACTCTGACTTTGAAGAAAACTGACCTTATTAGTCACCTTGTTAGGGAGGCAGAGAATCTACCCCTTCTCCCCCCCCCCCCCCCTCCCGACCCCACTCCCCCACCCTGCCACTCACCATAGGGTCCTGGAAACCGCACACAGAATATTACAGATCAAATAATAAAATGGAATTACATATAACATTTCAGTTACGTACAATGTGTTTTTGTCTAAAGAAAGAAAATGCATTCGGTGTGATAATAACCATATGATCCTTTGAGCACCGCCTGGTCTACAAAATGTAGGTCACACAGCAAAAGCCAGGTGCGCCAGTGACATGAAGAAAGTCATTGCTTTTTTGTAACTTAACAAACAAAAAAACATTTAATTAAAGAAACAGTCTATTAGAATTATATTTTATACCATAAAACTAGTAGTTTTTTTAAATGTCTCAAAATAAAACTGTTTTTCTGTGCTGGTTTTATTGAAACTACAAGATATTTTCAACCTTTTGTTTATTTCCATAAAGGTTAACTTCGGCAACAAATGCCCGATAAAGTCATGTATCACAGTCATGCTGTAAACAGACGTATCACAACTTACATCTTCAGATGAACACAGAAGATGAGAGAAAGAAAGAAGAAGCAGAAATTCAGATTCTCTGGATAACTAAACGAAATAAAGGAAAAGACATCCCAGCATAAGAAGTTTAAAAAAAGTCTACTTTTATACAAAAGCTAATTTTATTGTCTAGAAATAAAGTTACTGTTGTGAGGCTTAAGGATTTTGATCCTCATGTATAAATCCTCAATTTTCAGCAATGCTATCTGTCACGTTAAAAATCTAAACAATTTAGTGTAGAGCATTTCTTGGTTAATAAACATGTTTGTCCACCAGTTACAAATGACTTTAAAATCTGGAATCATTTTGACAATGATAAATCCACGTCCACTGTGGGCCTCTGTATCCGTACAGCAACCACTACTTCTGTTTACAATAAACTGAATAAAATAAGAATCCGTTGCTTCTATCTTGCTTTATGAGGCAGGGCATTTTAAATTTGTCAAAGTTGAATTTTTTTTTTTTTTAATTTGCTTTTAGCAGTTTTTCTTTAAATTGCATTTTCTAATTATTCGTTTAAATACTTTAAATTGTATTTGAAATTTTCAGTGTGTGAATCAAAAGTGCATAGTTAATTTCGAAAATGTAATTTTGCATTTGTCAAAAATATACACTAACTTAGTCTTCTTCTTCTTCTTCCCGTTCACCAGCTGTAAACTCCAGCAGAAAGTTCTGGTTGTTCATTCACTTTTCGACTCTAGTCCTATTCCAGAAACTGTGTTGTGTGCTCATTTGTTTCACAGGTCTGACTCATTTACATGCAGACTGTAGGTTCCTTCAAAATTGTATGGCCAGATACAATCTCAAACACTAAACTACTTCAAGCCACAAACCAAGAAACTTTAGACAGTATAATTACCAAGAGAAGATGGAAATGGCTTGGCCACGTTATTAGAATGACTTCTGATACACCTGCCAAAACAGCTCTCACATGGACACCAGAGGGAAAGAGAAAACAAGGGCGCCCAAAAACAACATGGAGACGAACGATGGAAAGTGACCTGAGTGCGGCATTTTGACATGGAAAACTGCACTGAAGATTGCACAGGACAGGAAAGCATGGAAAGTCCTCTCTGAAGCCTCACATGCCACTAGGCATAACGAGAACTGATGATGTTGGTTCTTAGGCAGATGTACTCTGACTTTGAAGAAAGCTCTTAGTTAGTCGACTCTTACGACATTCTTTTAAGCAGGCAATGGGTCTAATCTTATTTTTCCCCACAATGGGGCCCCGGAACCAACGCGGGGATGATTGAAATTAATTTGGGAATCTATGATTCTTTTAAGAATTTGACAATTTCTCAACAACAGCAACAAAACACAAGTAATGTATGTTTTTATTCACACACTGTCTTTTCAATTTGGTATAGTAGTAGAGGTAATTACAACTTCTAATTACAACTTGTAATTACAACTCATGCACTTTTCTAATGTGGATCAATACTGACTTATGCTTAGATATGCTCATTTAGCACAGAAAGTTGTGCTTATAAGTTCTCCATGTGTGTTCTGTGTCCCATTTTGCCATTTGAGGAGGGGGGTAGACCCTCTATTTACTAGCAAGCATGTCATAAAAGGCAATTAAGTTTTTTTTAAATTGGATGTGTTGGGCTGAACTCTCCATCGGAATCAGAGTGTGTCTACCTGAAAGACAAAGTACCAACAGTCTGCGTACAAATATGCAAGATCTGTAAAATGGATGTGCCCACAGAACATGATCAAAGTCCAGGAGTTGATAAATTTCTACCAGAATTTACATCTGGTGAATGTTAAGAAAAAGAAGGAAGTCAATAATGTGTTCAACTTCCCCTTCCAGAAAATACAACAATATTGAAAGAATGTTGAAATAGAGTTTTATGGTCCTGAAGAAATGCATTAGATGAACATGACAAGATCACGTTGTTGATGACAACATTTGTGGTTTTCACACAGTTTTATATGTGTTCTTTTGTGTTCACATTTATCCTGAACAGAATATTAACGTTTTTAGACAGCATCCATTGTTTTCACACAGTTTTATATAGGTTCTTTATGTTCACATTTATCCTGAACAGAATGTTGATGATAACAGCACTCATGGTTTTCATACAGTTTTTTTTAAATATGTTCTTTATGTTCACATTTATCCTGAACAGAATGTTGATGATAACAGCACTCATGGTTTTCATACAGTTTTTTTTAAATATGTTCTTTATGTTCACATTTATCCTGAACAGAAATTTGATGACAGCACTCATGGTTTTCATAGTTCTTTTTAATGTGTTCTTTATGTACACATTTATCCTGAACAGAATGTTTATGTTTTTATACAGCATTCATGGTTTTCACACAGTTTTATATATGTTCTTTATGTTCACATTTATCCTGTACAGAATGTTGATGTTGATGACAGCACTGGTGGTGTTCACACAGTTTTATATATATTCTTTATGTTCACATTTATCCTGAACAGAATGTTGATGTTGATGACAGCACTGGTGGTGTTCACACAGTTTTATATATATTCTTTATGTTCACATTTATCCTGAACAGAATGTTGATGTTGATGACAGCACTGGTGGTTTTCACACAGTTTTATATATATTTTTTATGTTCACATTTATCCTGAACAGAATGTTGATGTTGATGACAGCACTGGTGGTTTTCACACAGTTTTATATATATTCTTTATGTTCACATTTATCCTGAACAGAATGTTGATGTAAATGATAGCACTGGTGGTTTTCACAGTTTTATATGTGTTCTTTTATGTTCACAATTATCCTTAACAGAACGGTGATGTTTTTAGACAGCACTCAAGGTTTGCATACAGTTTTATATGTATGTGCTGCATGTTTGCCTTTATCCTGAACAGAATGTTGGCTATGATGTGTTTATTTACTACAGTATTTACTGCAAAAATATATTTTCCCTTTCTGCGAACACATTCAGCTTCAGCACATTATTTGTCAGGACTTTCCATTTTTTTCCCTTTGATGCATACTATAAATATTCTACTGTGGTTGTGTTTTCTAAATCTAAAATTCACAGCCATTACAGCCAATTTTGTTTATTCGTTTATTCGAAGAAAATTAGTAACCATGGAGATGAGATGTCTGAGAAGGGCTGTAGGAGTGACCATAAGACATAAGATCATAAGAGAAAAAGTCGGCACAGAACCAATTCTAAATTACATACAAAGACAGCAGGTGAAATGGTTTGCCCATTTAGAGAAAATGCCTTGTGACACCATACCATACAAAGCATACATGGAAAGAGAAGAAGGACGTAGAGCACGAAGTAGACCAAGAACAAGATAGAAGGATAACATCAGAGAAACTCTACAAAGCACGATGTGCCTATGGTCGAAGATGCCAGAAGAGCTAGAAACAGAACCTTATATCTCCCTCGACACCCACAGCAGTAAAAGAGGAAGTGAAGAAGAAAAAGAAGTTTATTCGAAGACACAAGTTTAAATCCTTAGTTAGGTTATTTTTTTATTTTTTATTTTTAATTTCATGGTAAAAAAAATACAATCCTAACCTGCAAGTCCGTGGTGAAAACACTAGCCATACAGCCTTAAACAGTCAGGTTCAAAGACCCCCTGTCTTCTTCTTCATCTTCTCCTTCTCTTCCCCCTTGTGCCTCATTGAAGTG